TAATGTAATTCGACAGGCAAATTACAGTAATATTTTTAGCAAAAGATGTGTATAAGAGACAGCATATACACAAGTACATACATACACACGTATAATAAGGATAGAACCGAAATGTCAATTAAAATGGGAATTATATTTTAATACTACAATTGACTGGATGTTAACTTGGAAAAGGAAAGTAAAAATGATTAGAGAAAACAAACTCAAACAAGTAAATTTTAAATTATTACATAGAATTATTCTCACTAGAAAAAAGATTATGTATATGGGAAATTCTAAACTCAAACACATGCTTACAGTGAACTGTGTTGAGGATCATGCACACTTATTTTATGAATGCGCAGAAACCAGTAATCTACGGCGTTACATTAATGATCATACATCAAAAAATCACAATATTTTTTTTAAATTTCATTTTAAATTATATTTTAAATGTCTTTTTAACGTCTTGAACGATCTACATGCTGTCTCTTATACACATCACTTCCTTAGAAATTTCCGGAGTGGGGTCCTCTGTGAGCTTCCGATAGTGAAGAGGATTGTTTAGTTGTCTTAAGGACTCCTCTTCATAGAATTTAGTGTCCATTACGACAGTGGCAGAGCCTTTATTAGCTGGTTTGATGCAACCATCAAACCAAATTAAAAAAATGAAGATAAAAGACATTTGTGAATTTTGGACCACAGAAAAGTAGTCTTCAATTAGATTAGTCTCTAATTGGAGGGTTTTGTTTTAATTAGAAGGAGACCTGTATTTATTTATTTATTTATTTTCTTAAATCACAAAAAAAAAATCACAATTTTTTTATTCAGACATTCTCATGAAAACTAGGATTGGTGCGGACAAGGCCTGAGCTACATTTTACTTGCCAAATAATGCAGTATTATACGGTTATTAATTAGATATTTTTCTCAATTTTCCAGTATTGTTTTTCAATTCTTTTTCCATTTCAAACGCTATTTGATTTCAAATTCACATACCATTCCTGCTGTTACTTTTCTTGCGATACCGTATTCATTTGCAGTCTTTTAGCGCTTGGTGGTCATTTTTTACTTTCCAATCGTCGTCGTTGGCTTTTCTTCGTGTCCGAGATTTTTCTCAACATCAAATTGTGTCGGTGCCTCTTGTGGCTTGCAAAGTCGAGTTTGGTGTGGAACAATTTTCCGCACAGGTCACATCTGATTAACGTTGGGGGTCTTGGTTGGGACTGACGGGTCTTTCGACGACGTCTTTTGTATGCTTAATTTCTTTTACGATGCTCAAAATGAGCTGCATCACTCTCAATGATGTGTCGCCATGTTGTTCTGTTTTCAGCATGTGTTTCCCAAGATTTGGGGGTCAATATTAGAACTTTTCATTGACTGTTTAAGTTGGTCTTTAAATCGTAGCATGGGATGACCACGAATTATCTTGCCTGAAGCAAGCTCACTGTAAATAAATTGTCGAGGCAACCTGGTTTTGTTCATGAGGTTGACATGCCCAGTCCATCTGAGGCGGTGTTTGTTGATGGCAGCCTCAATGCTGTTAGTTTTAGCTCTTTCCAGAACTTCTAGGTTGCTCATGACAAAATCCTCCCATTTGATATTCATGATTGATCGTAGTTTCTGTAGATAAAAACGTTCCAGTTTGCGAATGTCTCGGCGGTACAGGGTCCAAGTTTCACAACCGTAGAGCAAAGTGGAAACAACCGTAGCTTGATATACCATGAGCTTGGTATGTATATTAAGGTTTTTGTTTCAAAAAAAAAAAATAATAATAATAATTTTCCAAAAGCAACATTGGCAGCGCGAATCCTGTTCTCTACGTCTTTCTCGGAGTTGCATTGGGTAGAGAGAGCTTCCGAGGAATAAAAATTGGTCAACTTGTTCCAGTGGTTTGTTGAAAATAGAGACGTTGAAATCTGGGATGGTTGAAATTGGGACAGGTTGTGCAAGTATTTTGGTCTTCTTGATGTTGATTGAGAGGCCGTATCGGACGTATGCATTTGATAAATTGTTGACTGATTCTTGCATTTCTTCAGGGGAGTGAGCAGGCAAGGCAATGTCGTCAGCATATTGAAGTTCAGTAACATGATTGCTGTTGGACAGTTTTTGTTAACGTAATCTAGTACAGATTAAATAGGCCTCCATCAAAACGATACTTGATCCCCACACCAGGATTGGTAGAAGGAATTTCGTGGAGTACGGCTGAAAGGTACAGGGAGGACAAGCTTGGTGAGAGAACGCATCCTTGTTTTAGACCATTGGTAATCGAAAACTCTTCTGATGTCTTGTTTTGATGTGTCACCTGTCCTATCATGTCATCATGGAGAGCCCTGATAAGTGCTACAATTAATGTTCAGGGCAGCCAAATCTCCTCAGGACCATCCATATGGCCCTTCGTGGAACGGTGTCAAATGCTTTTTCGAGATCATAAAAGAAAAGCAAGAGTGGTTTCTGTTGTTCTCTACATTCCTCTTGCAGCTGTCTTACACAGAAAATCATATCAATTGTTCCTCTGGAAGCTCGAAATCCACACTCAGAAATAACGAGGAGACGATTTAGCAGAATTTTAGCAAAGATTTTCCCAAAGATAGACAGGAGGGAAATTCCGCGGTAATTTCCGCAAATACTACGATCTCCTTTCTTAAAGATGGTAATGATAAGAGCGTTC